TACGATCTGAAGATGCTACTGTGTAGCGAAACAATTGTCATATTTAAATAAAATAGTGAAACTTTTAAACAGTGTAGTTTATATTAAAATAAAACAATATAGTCTAAAAGACCTTTGGAATTGCATATTCCGCTCTCGTGAAACCGTCAAACATGCCTTCGGCTCGTGTGACAAACTTTTTACTCGAGCGGAATATGCCGTATTCAAAACTTGTTACACAATTGTATACTATTAAATTCTTCATAGATATAATAATATATTGTGGACATTTAAGAACATTTTTTTAAAAATTTTCTTGATTGTCTGCTTACAAATGTTTTAGCGAATTTGATATAATAAAGTAAGTATATTTAAAAGTTGCATTTTTGCAATAATTATAAACTCTAAAAGTATTGGCAAATTGTCTTAATCAAAATAACCCTGGTTTTGGTTGGTGGTCCAAAAGTAATAAGACACAGACCAATACTTAAAAAAATATTCGATTAATTTAAATTTGCCTCATCCAGAAGTTGATAATAACCAATATAATAATAATAATAATAAAGTTTATTTTTTCATAAATAAAGTACCTACATTTACAAATTTGTTGTAAAAGTAGGATATACTTAAATATTATGAAAAAAATCTCAAGATTGTGCTCAAGAAGATAGAAATATTCTACCCCTCGGTTTTCAGCACAAACCCTGACTACACACAAATTACATTCATTTAATGTTATGCCTATCTAATTAAATTAAATTATTACATAATTTACAAATAAGAGAAGAGAAAAAAAAAGAAAACAAATTATTTAAGCCCAATATAATGTTAAATTAGAAAATAATTGATGAAAAACAACTACTTACTGATCATTAGAGAGTAGCGATGAAACTTGCTAATAATATCTTATGTGTTAATAAATCTTTATTTAAACCGCGCCCAAATACATAACCTAACTTTTCAAAATAACATAAACGGATGGCTCATTATTTAAATACTACCTCGTTTTTTGATTATTGATAATTATTATTTTTTTAAATGTCACTGTCCATTAGTGCAAATGAATAAGGTATATAGTTTTGATCTATAATAAAACTAAGAATTTAGCGGGGCCTTTACACCTTTAAACCTAATTTTCTCAAAACTAACATTTAGGACTTAATGAATTTTGCCAGAACGAAGATGATATTAGAAGAGGGCACTTAATTATATTACGATAAAAACTTTATTGTTGTTGCTAGGATTAAACATTTTCAAAATAAATTAAAATAATAGTAAATTTAATACGGAAGGTCCAAAAGTAATGGAGGCAGGAAAAAATAAAGTAAACCTTTTTCTCAAGAAAAGAAGTAGTAATTTTTTAGATTCCTTGAAAATGGTGTAATATAAATGCGATACCACAGGTAATTATGTCATGTAATACTAACATTAAAACAAAATAAACGAGGCTTCTACAGCGAGTTCAATATACATAACACAACATAACCAATGTTATATATATACAATGTGTATATATACATATATACACTCAACGGCAAAAAAATCCGCCACTAGAAATTGGACACAATTTTAAGGTTGATTTACTTGCGAACTGCTAATCGATTTTTTTTTTAATTGTAGTAATCAATGGTAAACATTTTTATTTCGTTTTTAATTTAAGTAGATATAGTGTGCAAAAGTAAGTAGAACATTTTATGGGGAATTTAATTTCCTGCAAAAATAGTTTTATTGATATAATTAAATTTTCTTTAAAAATCTTGTTTACTTCCCACCTGTTACTTTAACCGTTTTAGCGTAGAAAGCAAAAATACTGTTTTTTCATTAAAAATATGACGTATACCCTGTATACAGGTCAAAAATATTGGTTGCATAAAAATTGTTACAAGTACTTTTAAAGAACATAATATTTACAAATCGCATCTAAGAATATTTTAGTAGCTTAAAATACATACCGCCAAGCTATAGAAAATTAAAAAAAAAATCATTCTTAATTTTCTGTTATTTCAATGTGAAAACTTTAAAATTAAAATAAAAGTACTTAGGAGTAAAACTTAAAGGGCATTTTTTTCTCGATACGTACAGGGTGATTCCCAAAAAATTTAAAAGTGTGGTTATGTAGGTACTAAAAAATACTATTTTTCTACGTATTTTTTAGTACCTACATAACCACACTTTTAAATTTTTTGGGAGACTTGAAATAAAAAAGTTAAAGGGGGGCGATATTATAGGGGATCACCCTGTACATCAATATTTTGTTTGGGAAGTGACATAAATAAGTGTTTCTAATCTAATCATCCTGTTTATTAGAGTGATCGATATAATATATATTATATGTTTTGGCGTCTTATGGATTTTAATTCACAAACAAGAGATTTTCGCAACTTTTCGACTAAAAAATCTATTGCCTTCAATTAAGCATGTAAAAAATTGGGGTGACATCCCTCTAAACGTAAACCTTTTCGAACTGGGTCGGATGGTTTGATATTCATGAACTGTAGCAGCGCAGGCAAACTGGAGCATTGGAGAGCTTGTATTGTATCCCGAAATTGTTACATAAATTAAGCTCTGCTAAAAGGTACGCGTCTTAGAAACGAAACTCGCTGACGCTACAGTCGAAAATTAATTGAAAGCCATAAGCAATGGCTAAGGTGACCAACCGTCCTGGTTTACCCAGGACAGGTTCTGGTTTTTGCTAATGTGTCCTGGTTTTAATTGTGTACTGGTTTTGTCCTGGTTTGGATTTGGTCCTAGTTTTCATATGCTCAGACAACTTCGTAGTCTATTATCGAGAAGTGTACTCAGAATGACATATTTTGCTGTTTTTCATAGCCATTTATCTTATGCTACTTTCGCATGGGGAAATTCTTCTAATTCTTACAAAGTTTTCCTTTTGCAGAAGCAAGCTTTGAGAACTATTTATGGTGCTGGATATACTGATCACTGTAGGCCAATTTTTAAAGATCTGAAGATTTTGACCCTTAGTGGTCAGTATATCTTGGACTGTATCTTGAATCTATTCTGAGGACTATCAGTGCAGGCTTTTCTAAAATGCAGCAGTCTTTTAAATACCAATCGGTGATATTTTATAACAAGATTTCACCTAGTTGGATAAAATATTCTCTAAAAAAAATTGAAATCTTCTTTGAAATTGTTTTTGTTAGAGCATTGTTTTTATAGCACGAAAGGGTTTTTGGAATATTGTGATGTAATTTATTGATGCTATGTAGTGTTTTGATTATTAATGTTTTTTAATTGTATTTTTTTAATTTGCTTGTTTATATTTGTTGTAGGTATTCTTTATTTTATTATGCAACGAATTTTCTTGTATTTATTCTTTTATTTATAATTAGTGTAGTTGATAATTATATATTTATTAATTTATGTTCCCGACTTGTGCACACAATTTTGTATTGTTTTTAAGCATAAATAAATTATTAATATTATTATTATTAGTTTATACTATTTTTTTATTATTGATATTTTATTTATTAGCATTTTTTAAGTGGTTGGGGCTCAAATTAAAAATTAATTTAAAAATGTAAAACTTTCAAAGTACATTTAGAAGAGTAAAAAAGTAAGAAAAAACCTTGTTTAAAAAAATATAAAAAATTATTACTTTTTCTCACTTTTTTTAGGATTTGATCTATTATGTTTTGAAAAAGTGGTCGGTGATCAGGTTAAAAATTAATTTACAAATCTCAATTTTTAGGAGTACCTTCAGGATAGTAAAAAGTAAGAAAAAATCTCGTTTATTTTTTTTTAAATTATGAGTTTTTCCCATTTTTTTAGAACTGGTTCTAACTTTTTTATTAAAAGTGGTCGTGGCTCAGGTTAAAAATTAATTTACAAATCTGAATTTCAGGATAATTTTTTTATTATTGACGTACGTCATTAGCACTTTAAAAATAATAAACAGCATTTTAAAATAATAAACATTAAATAAAATAAATTTTGTTTTATTTTTTGGAAGGGCGAGGAGGAGCATGTTGTGTCCTGGTTTTTCATTTTAAAAAGTTGGTCACCTTAGCAATGGCCCATAACTTTGCGAAAATGTTTTGGTTAAAATATGGTTCTTAAAGTGTCTCTTTCTGCTGACGGATTTATTTTCATTGAAAACATTTTGCACGTTTGCGGTAGCACTTATCTACTACATATTTACTAGGCCTAATTTTATAAATAAATAAATTTTAAGATTTTTTGGTGAATAGGTTAATAAATCCAAAGGTAAATTGATATTTAAAGGATTTGTTACCGAAATGACCAGTGGAGCTTCAAAAAAGTAAAATTTTGTTTTAATTTTGTTTTAATAACATATAACATAAAATTACAGTTCTAATCGTATACGATATATATATAATAAAACTAAAATTTCAATTTGAAAAATTTCATAACTGACTTTGTTTTATTTCTGTTAGTTTTAATTATTTTTCCGTTGTATGCAAAAGCTATTGTCTTTGAAAAAATTGCTGAAAGGGCAGGTCTGTCTACTAAAAGGGCAGTGATAAATAATTTATATGAGAAGCACTTAAAGATTTTAAAGTTGGTAACTGAATAGTTTATCAATTAACACTTTTAGGTAATGTTAATTAAACATTAAAGTGTTAAGTTAAAAAGTAGCAAGTATTAGCTGAACTTCTATAATCTATATATTAATGCCTAGACAAGCTATTTGGTTAGCTTATTGGAAAATATATAAATGTATTAAATAAATAAATAATAATAATGAACTAAAGTAAAATCTTTTTAACATATATTTTATTACTCTATTACAAATATTTTTATTAAAGTTATTGTAAAATACATTTTTGGTCCAAACCGATCCAATTAAAATAATAAAACAATTAAAATTTGAGTTTTTTAACATATTATTCAGAATTCGTAAATTTAAGTAAGCATTTTAGGACACACACTTTTGTTCAATAATCATGTTAGAGGAGTTTGGAGAACCATTTCAGTTAAATACGTTTTTGCACTTAATATAATATTTAAATAAATAAATTTATATAATTTTAAAACCTTACCTGGGTTAGTATTAAATCTGTTGAAGTTGAATATCTGCAAATAATAAGAAAAATTATAACTTTAAAAAGTTCTCTTATTTATATTTTTATTGTATATATTTCTTTAATTCCTTCCACTGCCCCAGTGCTATCCTAAATATAAAAATCTTAAAATTCTGACGAGGGCAGAAAACAATTTTTTTTTTGAGCCAAGATATTTTTTCCAAAATTGGGCACATTGATTTTCAACAAAAAAAAAATAAGCTAAATATACAAAAATATATATATATAAAATGGGCGGACCCCCAGTCAATGTTAAATATGAAAATATTTTTATTTTTAAAATTGACCGAGGGCCCCTATTTAGCTTTTGTAATTTGCCCAATTTTGGAAAAGTTAGTTATGCTCTAAAAAAAATCTTGGATAAAATTTTTTTTAACCGTTTTCTGCCCTCGCGAGGCCTCGTCTGAATTTTATGATTTTTATATTTAGGATAGCTCTGGGGCAAAAAATATTTTTTTTTTTACCAAAATATTTATTTTTATCATATACAAGTTTTCTATACACAGGCGTTTGCAATTTTAAAAATATTCATATTTCGCTCCACCCTAACCTACAAGTTTTCCAATGCTATTACCATAGGAAACTTCAATCACAAAGCGGACTTTCTTAGTTGCTTTAGGGAGCTCAAATTTTTATGATTTTTTTAAATCAATTTTAAAGGAACCATCCTATACTGCATTCAAAGATGTAATATTAATTGTTTAATGCTTAAAACAGTTTCAAAACATTTTAACTGAACCATAAGACTTAAATTAAACAAAACACATCTTTGCTACACATTTCCTCTCTTTGTTTTGCTCTTTAAAATTTTATAAGTACAAATACGAATACACCGAAAATAATAAAAATTACATATTTTTGAAGATAATTAAAAGCTCTACAAAAGCTCTAATATCTAAAATTCATAATTAAAAGTTTAATTTTTATAAAATTACCATTCTGACAAGTTACTCGAGTGTAGCAAAGAAATGAACAATATTCACCGTGTCTGGTTTTCTTCTGATTTAAATGGTGAAAACAGAAAAACAATTGAACATCAGGATTCCGAAATATTTACAAAAATAACATTTTTTATATGGGACACCCTTTATATTTTTACATATTTTAAAAGACAATTTAATTTGAAACAAAAAAAAACTACCCTAAATATGAAATAAACAATTAATAGTTAAATAGATTAATAAACTTTGTGATGGTTGTTGAAATAACCAAATTATTACTTTATTTTAACAACAATCAGAAAGTTCAAGTGCTTAATAATTTTTTATTTTTTAAGTTTGAGGTTGTTCCAAATTAAATTGTCTTATAAAATATCTAAAAATATACAGGGTAAATTTTGTGAATGTTTCAGAAACTCGATATCCAATTGATTTTCTGTTTACACGATTTTATTCAGAAGAAAAAATGCCACCAATTTGCTTATTTAACCGACTTTTTAGCTTAAATATGTAATAACAAAGTTAGCAATAGTAAGTAGATAAGTTTTAGCACCCTGTATATTATAAAACCATTGTATAAGACGAGCTTTTTTATTTATTTTTTAAATTGAAAAAAAATTTAATTTTATTTTTTTTTTTAAATTTCAGGATTTTTATAATTAGGTACTTAGATACCTACCTATAATAAATCTTGAAAATATTGCATGTTTAATTTAAATAAAATATTAATTATTTTTTTTGTCGAGTTGTTAATAACACAGCCACACAAAAAAAAAGTGTCGTGATCTGGGGATGCGACATATGCTTTCCTATGGATTTTGACACGCTGAATCCGAATCCGATGTCAAAATTTGTCCTCCATGTCCGCGTTTCAACCTAACCTCAAAAAACGTGAAAAATTAGTATTTTCTGTTCTAGGGATGAGGCATGTCGATTCTTATGTTTTTTGATGCATTGAATGTAAATAATCTCTCAGAATCGATCGCACACGTTGTTATTTTGACTCTAATCTCGAAAAAACGCAATGAAATGAAATATACTGAAATTGTGATATACCTAGGTACTGCCTTGAAGGCTAGTTTTTTTTTGAAAGCCTATATCAGCGGAGTCTGACAGGTGCTGTCATACAGTTTTTTTACCTAGAAACCATTTGTAATTTAAAATTGCGTGTTTGTGATTGGTGAAAATTAAGACGAGGGAAATAGTCATATATTATATCACGAGAACTATAAATTTAATCGGTTAAACTAGGCTCAGTAGTTTTATGTTTGGTTTTTGTTGGAAAATGTTGAATGCAGAATAATTTAATAAAATCACGAGACCGCGTAGCGGTCGAGGGGTTTTATTTTTAATTATTTTGAATGAAACTATTTTCCAAAAAGAAAAATCAAATAAAAAACTTACTGAGCATAGTTTGACAGATTAAATTTATAGGTTGAGTGATATACGTCTAGATTATTTCTCGAATTAAAGGAAACTATTTGACAATTCATAAAATCTGACGTATGTGTCAAAATTTATAAATATTTTTTTAAAGAAAATTCCATTAATTTAAGGTATGTAATAAGTAATAATTGATATTTCGTAAACAAGATAACTTATTTTTTATTGTTTTTTAAAAAATGTTTGTTAAAACTTGTAAATAACACCATAAAATAGTAAACAAAAATCCAATATGGAGGCTAAAATTTAATCGCTGTTAAATAGTTCTAGTGATTTAATAGCTTATTTAAACAAAATTTATTCGAAAATTCAAGGCTTTTGATTGGTTCATATTATAATGAGGGAAATAATCAACAGTAATAAACCCATAGAAGAGGCTTTTTATCGATCTGTTATTCACAAAAAAGCGATTTTCCGATAATTTCTGTTTCTATAATATAAATACTATTGAGTATAGAAATTTGTATTGTAAAATCGAGTTTCAAGTAAATTATAGAGGTATACCTCTATATAAATAATTATATTAATACACTAAATTATATGGGGCGCCATGTGTTCCATAATTATTTCGTACGATATATAAAATATTTTGCAGGAAAAACTATATATAAGTAAAATTTACTACAATTTTGCATATATATTAAAAATAAAAGTTTTATATATATTGAATTTGGCACCATGCGAAGTTCGATATAAAACTTTTTTCGTTTAAAAAGTCCCCGAGCGATGGCGCTACCTTTCTTTATGATTTGTATAGTGTGTTGCATATACTTTATGAACGTATTCGAATTTAAAAAAACATCTTTCTCTAAAAGAATAATTACTTAAAATACCTACCTTTTATTAATAATATCGATGAACAGTATAATTACAGCTGTATAAATTACAAACCAACCGCCGTTATCTAAAAAAAACGTGAGCGAAAGATGTTTTTTTAAATTCGAATACGTTCATAAAGTATATGCAACACACTATACAAATCATAAAGAAAGGTAGCGCCATCGCTCGGGGACTTTTTAAACGAAAAAAGTTTTATATCGAACTTCGCATGGTGCCAAATTCAATATATATAAAACTTTTATTTTTAATATAAACTGCTCGTCATAAAAATCGACGCACCTAGTTTTTTGGAAAATATTTGAAAGCTCGTTATTAGAAAATTACTGAATCGATTTTGAAAATCTTTGGAAATTCTGAATAGCTGATTCTTTGACTCTTATGTCTAATTTTGGGAATACGATATTTTGCACATAGCATTATACTACATGGTGTTAAACAAAGAGATGTATTTTTTCCGAAATTTCAAGTTATTCCCATTCATGAGGCAGTTGAATTTGATAGTCGTAATACCCCTCCCTAATATAAGTAAGGTAATCCCTCGGAACGTTTCGAGATTTTGTGAATATCGCGGCTTACTACGATTATATACCAATTTTTCGAAAATTGTTATTTCCCAGTTTAGTCCAAAAAATGAGCAATTGTGGATTCTTTGACTTACGTCTAATTTTGAGAATACGATATTGTGCACATAGCATTATACTACAGGGTGTTAAAAAAGGGGATGTTTTTTTTTCCAAAATTTCAAATCCCCATTCACAGAGCAGTTGAGCTTGATAGTCGTAATACCCCTTTCTAATAACAGTTAGGTTATCCCTCGGGACGTTTTCGAGATTTTGTGGATATCTTGGCTAACTACGATTATATGACAATTTTTCGAAAATTCACGTTATTCTTCATCTTAGTCCAAAAAATGAGCAATAGTTGATTCTTTGACTCTTATGTCTAATTTTGGAAATATGATATTGTAAACATAGCATGATACTACAGGGTGTTAAAAAAAGAGATATTTTTTTCCAAAATTCCAAATCCCCATTCACAGTTGAGCTAATACCCCTTCCTAATAACAGTTAGGTAATTCCTCGGGACGTTTTCGAGATTCGTGGATATCTTGGCTAACTACGATTATATAGCAATTTTTAGAAAATTGTCGTTATTCTTCACTTAATTCCCAAAAATAAGCAAACTTCTAAAGGTATCGATTAGTTATCAACACATCGTTTCCCCAATTTGCATGTTCTTGTGCTCATCTTCTTCTAGCAGAAAAAGAGGGCAGGCAGCTCTTCGTCTTGCGTGGTATGCAACCTTACATCCGACATTTTATTTTTTTAAATGTGTTTTGCTGTTTGAAAAATGTTTTTATATTCGATGACAAAAATTACAAGAACAATTGAAGGGAGGAAACTCAAAACCAGATATGCGCCATATTTTTTAAACTTTCATAGCCAAGCGTTTGTAGAAAATTGCATGAATATGGCCTGCATAAGTTTACGAGAATAATTTTGTTTGGTTTGCGTTTTTATTTTGAATTTCACCGAAAAAAATAGTTTTTTGTAAGTCAAAGAATTCACTATTGCTCAATTTTTGGAAAACTGGGGAATAACGACAATTTTCTAAAATTTGTCATATAATCGTAGTTAGCCAAGATATCCACAAAATCTCGAAAACATCCCGAGGGATTACCTAACTGTTATTAGGAAGGGGTATTAGGACTATCAAGCTCAACTGCCCTGTGAATGGGGATTTGGAATTTTGGAAAAAAAACATCTCTTTT